TGCTATTCGGATCATCATCGCAACGTTATTTCTGGAGAAGGCTGCCATTGACAATATGCTATGTATTCCCATCAATGTTAAGCGTCTAATTTGACGGCTTCCAGTGCTTCGTAAACCACATTCACTTCACTCTTCTCAGTCGGCTGATCTGGTGTTGTTGACCGATTTTGCAGGAGCTGCCCTTCCAAAAAGTTCTCGAATTGGATTCCTTTTCTCTTCCGTCGACAGCATTGCTAGAATTATTACTCGATTATCCTTTGGTATTTCGTTGTGACTCTGCGTTTGAAAGCCCCACTGGATTATGTTTTGATCTGTCTCTAGGCGGATCCATCTTTTTAGTTTTATTTGTAAACAGTGGGAGGCTTTGTAATACACTTCAATATATGGTTTTTGATCCCGCTTGAAACCGAACGGTTTCATAATTGCTTTTATAATTATACCTTTATGGAGAATTTTGTCGTGAGATCAATAAAACAAATACCAATTGATTTACTGTACAGTTTTAGAAAGGGATAGAGTGCTGCATTAAATTCATTTTTAAAACCAGACATTTTCTGATTTTATCGTCAGACTTTAAAAGGTTTTTAATCCCGCATTATGCTGAACTATTAATCAAGAATGTTTTGCACTGTTAAATGCTGTATTTAAACTTAAACTATTGCTTATTGCCGTTATAAAACCACAATCAATCAGAGTGAAAGCCAAAAGGCTGTTAAATTGTTACTTGGGAACTTCAAAGAAGTCTCGGAATTTTTAGGCACTTTCATTATCTTCAGGGATGTTCCGATTACTTGAAGAAAGATTACATAACTAAAGAGCAGTAATTAATTCAAGAAGTGCGAGTTTCAGGATAGTTCCAAAAACTTCAGGAATATTTCGAGGTTAAATTAATTCCAGAAAAATTGTTGGAACGTTAGAGAAGTTCCGAGAACTTCTTGAAAACCAAAATATGAGTTTTGTAAAGATTGATGAAGGTTTGGAGGTCACGAAAATGGTTTGAAATTTATTTGGAAATTTTGGCAGATTACTATGGGAAATTTTTAAATTTATCTTACATCGGTCTATCTTTGGTTCTAGTTGTCCATACGTAAAAAAATGGTATGTGGTTGTCATGATAATGATCAACAAGCCTGTTGACATTGATGTTGTTGTCTGGTACAAATGGGTTATTCCAGCTCAAGTGGATACACCACCTGTGGTCGATGTCACCAATTTGAGTCAAACTTGGCAGAAACGTTTATTTTGGCATTCTGAACAAATGCCTTTTTTGATTTAACTCAAAAGTTCCTAGATCCTTCTCAGCTACAACCCTGGATTTTCGAGATTTTTAAAAATTTCAACCTTCTGAAGAGATTACTCCACAACCAAATAAGCTATTCGTGATCTTAGAACAGGTTTTTAATGTAGATGCTGATAGGTGTACCCACATTTTGTTTTTGTTATAGTAACTAATTTAAAAAGGCTGATTACCGGCAGGTATCAAAATTGTCAAAAAATGGCCTATTTTCACGATGGGCGGGATTTTTTATTTCCTAATATTTTGGGCTCCAATTTTCACCACACTTTGGAAAACTCTTCTACTAGATGTGTTTTCAAGGGTAAATAATTTGGGCATATAGTTTTTGAGATATGACCAGATGAGTGAGTGGTAGTTTTGAGCTTTTATGGTGGAAAATCAATGCTATTTAAAATAAATCATTTTTTCTTGAATTCCTTCACGCCGATGACACAACAAAATTGTTTTATGTTATTCTGGGCAGGGTTCTCGTTATATGAAATCGTAATTAGTTCATTTATTTACTTCTGTCCATAATTTAATTGTGGTTCTAAAAGTGAAAAATGCGTTCCTAGCTTTCACTTTAAGAACCACAATTAAATGACGGGCAGAAGTAAATAAATGAACTAGTTATAATTTCATATAATGAGAATAGCATTGATTTTCACCATAAAAGCTCAAAACTACCACTCACTCATCTGGTCATATCTCAAAAACTATTTGTCCAAATCATTTGCCCTTGGAAACACATCAAGTAGAAGAGTTTTTCAAAGTGCGGTGAAAATTTGAGCTCAACAATTAGGAAATAAAAATTCCCACCCATGATGAAAATGGGCCATTTTTTGACAATTTCGATACCTGCTGGTAATCAGCCTTTTTACTGTAGTAACTACAACAACAAAAAATGTTGGTTCACCTATAAGAATTGATATTAAAGTACCTTCAAATTGACGTTCTAAGATCACGAATAGCTTATTTGGTTGTGGAGTAATCTCTTCTGAAAGATGGCATTTTTTAAAAATATCGAAAATCCAGGGTTGTAGCCGAGAGGGAACTAGGCCCTTCAGAGCAAAAAAAAAAGAGTTTGTTCAGAATACCAAAATAGGCATTTTGGCCAAGTATGGCTCAAATCGGATACATCGACCACATGTGGTGTACCCACTTGAGCTGGAATGACCCATATACAAACTAACTGTAACAACAACAGGCTTGTTGGTCATTGTCATAGCCAGGGATGGAAAATCATTTACATTCATTTCGTGCATTCATTTACATTCATTTGCCTCTAACTTTTTTCATCAACAGAATTCCGTAAAACAGTGTTTGAAGCTTTTGTAGGCTTTGATATTAGCTACATCTTATGTAAAGAACTCAAATCTGTGTATCTTATGTATGATGAATCAGAGCGATAAGAACCCACCATTGTTTTTCAGTGAATGTAAATTGCATTCACTAAAAAACAATAACATGTTCTGCCAGCTCTATTTCGTCATGCATAAGAGATTCAGATTTTAGTAATTAACAAAAGTTGTAGTTAATATCAATAAGCTAATAAATATTAATAGCTACAAAAGCATCATACAACGGTATTCTGGAGGTAAATGAATGTAAATGAATGCACGAAATGCATGTAAATGATTTTCCATCCCTGGTCATAGCAACCACATATTCATTTTTTAAGCATTTGCTCAACTAGAACCAAAGTTAGAGCGATTTAAGTGAAATTTTAAATCCATCCATAGTAATTCCTATACAAATTTCAAGCTATTTGCACGACCCCTAAACCTTCATTAAGAGTTGCCTATAAGCAATCTAACACTTAGTTTTCAAAAATATGCACCCTAGAACCTACCTCCTTATTGAGAAGTTCACGCGTTGTCTATCTATCAAATGTATTCCTGAAAACCGATAGCGATCTTCCTTGGAATCAATGTCAACAGAAGAACGAGCACCAGTTATATTGTTCTCAAGAAGATCAACAGCATCCTCGACAAGCCGTTAGCAGTTGACGGATTAAATATCTTCAAATTAAGCAGTGTATAATACTGCTAAGAGAGTAGCAGTTTCCGAAACGATCTACCTAGTCACAACTGCAAAAGTACCGATGACTTGCTCAAGTAAGTGAATGTGGATAACGGGATGGCGATTAAATATAATGTTTGGGAGCGAATTTGAAATGAGTAATCCCGGACATGCAGCAGTAGCACAGTATCCAAAAACTGTCTAAGACCTAACAGTTGGTTTCAATTTGGTTGGCTGGTTGCTTCGTTGGACACACAGCTATTACCTACTGTCTCTGAAAATTAAAAATTGTCACAGATAACAACAGACACAACTGCTGCATCGGATCCTATCAACACCTACATATACTAAGGTGACTATCATGGGCCAAATCTATGACTTTATTGGATACCCCGACATACAATAAAATCATTTGAAGTAATAGTCCTTTGAAACCAAACCCCGCAGAATTATGTTTCAATCCTCCCTAATATTGTAACGATTATCCTTCCACGATTTAACCTCGCTGGATCCGACTTCACACATCATCTGAGCCATCATAAAAACCAAACCCCTTCCATGCACATTCAACCACAATCTGTAGCCCACATCCACCCGGGTGGAAACGGCAAATTGCCGATGACTGCACAAGATAGTGCCAACTCCGCCACGACCTTAGCCATGCAAGGTAGCGCCCGGTGGTCGTAGCCGCTATTCATGCAAAAGTATCCTTCTATTTCGCAACTCACTACTTAGAACTAGCAGCGTTCCGTCGTTCCGTCATCGCATCGTGGCGGTGGCACTTGGCCAAAAGAACTGCCTTCCATCTAAATAATGTGCACACACATTCGTTCAAGCTCGGTTCACATGGATCCAGACCCCGAATGTGAAACGTGGAAACCGAATTTATTTGGCAAATTTCCGCCGAAAATCCTTCTCTCCCTTTCTGGCATCGTGGCACCGTCGTTGCCGTCGTCATCGTCCTCGGTTATTGAAAGTAGGAAGGAAGCACATGGGGCGAGCATGTGGGGTTCCTGTCTTCCCGTTCTGGCCCGTTTCCCAGAGTGAACTTTGAACCTTCAACACACATAGCGATGCGAGCGGATAAAAGGAAGGAGACATGCCTTCGAGCTACCAACAGTCAACGACGACGACGACGACGACACACGCCGAGCGGGAGAGAGACAGACATGTAAGTTTATAAACATCGTTATGAATATGAGCATCCGTTAGTCTATTTTTTTTTTCTTCGGTGAATTCGTCCTTTCGGTCTGATGTGGGAACTGAACGCTGGCTGGCAACCAAAACGAATAGCGAAAAAATACGATAATTTCATATCCTCTCGCAGCGAGCGAGCGGTGTCGTGGTTGAGAGTGGCGGAAAGTTTCAAATCCAGTTGTGGGGAGTTATTTTTTGGGGGTTTTCATTTTCGACATGTGCCGTTGTAACTTTTCGGCTTCTTTCATCGGTTACATCAATAACAGTAAACGAGACGGGGGAGGTTGAGTTGGGACGACTTTTTTTTTGCTGCTTCGTCCGCAATGCAGCAGTTAGACTTTGGTTTCAAAATGCAACTGAATTTTTGCTGGAAGTCGTCCCGGAGATGATAATTAATGTACTTTGCGGGTTTTGAGCTAGGGGGGATTTTTTTTTTAATTGGCACTCTACATGGATAGATAACATGCAGCAAAGTTCAAGGGGCTGTCGGTATGGATGTACTTACGTTTCTTTTTCAGGTATGGTTGGTCGTGCATCACACGGGGGTCGGACATTTCCATCAGTGGGCTGTACATTTTGCCCGGCTCCATGCCCGGAGGGAACAGACCGAGTGGGGAGTCCAGACCGAACACTGGAAGGTGGGAAAGAGAGTTCATTAGGTTATGGATTTGAAGAATTCTAACTCTTATGCTGGGTTTAGACTAGGCAAGTCAAATGATCAACTCAGTTGAATTCAATTGGCTTGAAAAGTTGAGCCTGGTTCAACTTTTTTCAATTCAAGTGAGTTGATCAAGTCAGTTGAATGGCATGGTTTACACGTTCAATTCGCGTTCAAGTCAGTTGAATTCAACTGACTTGATCAATTGAGTTGCCCTGTGTAAACCCAGCTTTACTGCTAAAAGAGATTGCATTGCCCAGAATGGCATATCAGTCCCATCTGTTATGCGATTTTGGGTGGCTAAGTGATCATTATTAAGTGGAAGAAGTGTTCGATATTGAAAAATGCATTCTTTCTGTCGTTCAAGAACCGGGCTTTATAGGTATAGATCTTCGAAAGTTCGATGCGATTTATTCAATTTGATTGATCAATGCAAAATTGGTTCACATTTCAGAATTTTTTACCCAACGTCTTGGTTTGTATAGATTTCAATTAATTTCAATTACCATTAGTAAGAACAATGGTTTTTCTAGATTTCTATATCAAGTTTCTAACATTATCAATAGATCTCATCAAACTTGCTCAACTACATTTTAGAGATTTGATTTGGAAAACTTCGAAGGCCTGCACTGAAAATCTTGAAGTAAGAGCTCTAAACAGTTTAACCCTTTCGTGATGGGAGAAATCTTCGAAAAAATTAAATTGAGAAGAATAATATTTGTGCGAGGAAACTGCTATCTTCCATATATTTAAAATATTTGTTTAAAAACTACAAGGGGTAGCCCTATGGGGTTGTACGCAATGGTGAAGTAGGACTACATGGTCTTATATAATAAATCTTATTTGTTCACTGCAGCAGGAGCTTGTATTTTGTGTTGCAATACGAATTTGAGCGGAGTTATCTCTGTTTATACTCTTTAATATGACGCGCTTGATGGCCCACAGCGACTCATGAAGAACTACAGATTCCAATCAATAGCGGTGTGGCATCTTCCACCTTCTATGGATGCTCATGTGGGCTGCAGCTCGCTGCTTGCAGGCAGCCTTTCGTTCTGTACTAGTGTTCAACGCCACGCTCCGAAAGAACTGCTGCTGCTGATGCAGACAACCGGACACCACCACACACGGTGATTTTTTTTTTTTCCTTTGGTTTGTTTTTTCCGTCGATCTTGTTTTCCGTGCTGAGCACCAATGCTACCGACGTGCCAGGAAGGCAGCTCCCACACCTGGACCCTACCTATCGACCCATCAACTCATGAACCGGTGACCAACGGCTTTACTTCCCATCCGAAGGAAGGCGTGATCAGAGATGTTATGCCTCAGAACATCCCGGCGGCGCCGACTGGGATTGAACCCAGGCCTGCTGGGGTGAGAGGTAATCACGCTTACCACTACACCACCGGCACCGGTGATTGGAACTGAATCCGATCAGCGGTTGAGGGCAGCCTTGATAGCTAGCTGCTTGCGGGGAGCCTTTCGTTGTGTACTGGAGCAAACCTCCACTAATCACGCGGTGATTGAATATACACCGTTTAGTGAGACCGGATGGAATTCAACTTTGAAATCTGTTTTAGGGAAATCGGTTTTCGCAGCAACAGTTGCGCAATTATCATAGCAACAGTTGCAGATTCGTGCAATTTTCAATAGTAATATTATGAAAAATGAAACAATCTTAAGTTAATCAGATGCGTAGAAATATTTCTGATCGATTGAAGATAAAATTATTGAAATTGGTCCAAGGGCAGCTGAGTTATTAACGTTCAAAATCTTTCATAATTTTGTTACATGTTCCATTTTCAGTTTTCACAAAGTGTACCCCATGCAGAAATCACAGACGTGGTCCTACGTCAAAAAATCAAGCACTAGAAATAAAGGGTGTACTCTATAAAAATGACGGATGCGATGACGCGCGACGGACGCGATGAACGCAGGCTCGGTCTTCTGCGTTATGGCCAGAAATGATGACATGACTGAACGCTGAACAAGAAACCTCATGCTAGGAGGTTGCAATAGCCTTAGCACTTGTTGCCGGTATCTCATTGGTGCCGGGGAGATAATATGTTACCTCGGCTCCCACATATTCTGCACCTCTTATATCGCCTTACAATGCCAGACTAGAGTCAAGCTCAACAGGGTCTTCTTTCTCCGCTAGTGTTTCCAAGCCCGTTCCCTTGGCTGTGGTTTCGCTAGATAGTAGATAGGGACAGAGGGAATCTTGTTAATCCATTCATGCGCGTCACTAATTAGATGACGAGGCATTTGGCTACCTTAAGAGATTCATAGTTACTCCCGCCGTTTACCCGCGCTTGCTTGAATTTCTTCACGTTGACATTCAGAGGACTGGGCAGAAATCACATTGTGTCAACACCTGTTGAGGCCATCACAATGCTTTGTTTTAATTAGACTGTCATGTTGTGCCAGTTTTGAATTGACTGTTTGGTGATGACTGCAACGCCCGCGGGACACACACCCACACACGGGAGCCCGCGAAGGCTCCGCGCGCAAGCGTACACCCACGGAGGAACGCATTGAGGCAAACCCCCACCGCAAAGCGGGAGCATAGCCCGAGTCATCCCAGTCTTCAGAGCCAATCCTTATCCCGAAGTTACGGACTATCGCCTAGAGACTCTAAACCTTGGAGACCTGCTGCGGATTCGGTACAAGCTGTTGAGAGTTTGCGTGCGCCAGTCTTCGATTTTCAAGGTCTAAGAAGAGAATATCGACACAGCAATTTAATACCATGCTCTACCAGCCTGTCGAACCATATCTCTCTATGAAATACTTCCATGGCTAGTGTGACTATTACACAGAAAAGAAAACTCTTCCGATATCTCTTGTTGGCTTCTCGAAGAAAAGGATTCATGTTGCCATGATTACAAAGGCGCTACCGTTGCCGGTATGCAAACACCAATGCAAACGTATACTCAACAGGCTCCGGAATTGTAACTGGATTCCCATTCGCTCATTCAATATATACGAGGATGTTGCATCAAACAGCGTGGTAGAGCTTAGGATTGGCTAACTCGTGTTCAACTGCTGTTGACACGAATCCCTCCTCCACTTCAGTCATCCAAGATCTTATTCGAATATTTGCTACTACCACCAAGCTAGTGGCGGCTCCATGTCGGTTTACGCCAGGCACTTCAACGCACACCACAAGACCCTCCTACTCGCTGGCGTCTCAAAGGGCAGGCGTGCGAACGCGCTGCCTCACTTGTACGCCAGCGGTAATGTATAGGCAAACAACGTTTTTTTTTAATTTACTAATGTATTTGATAAGGCTAAACCGAATTAACTTACAGAGCTGAGGATTCTTGTTCATTATACAATTCATCTTAAAACTATAGTCAAAAGGTACAAAACAATAAACATTTTATCTTCCACTATCCAATAAGCCTCCTCCACCAGAACGGGATCCGCTTCCAGTTGTTTCATTGTTTGGCAGATTCGCCAACGGTGGTCAGAGCGCTTCCATTGCAGCAATGGACGCAAAACGTGGTCAGCACTCACACATTCATCACGAAACGGTTACTTTCCAAAGTCGACGACGCATCGACTGAAAGAACTGCTGATGAAGAACAATGAGGAGGACCACACAATGGTTTCTGCCGAGTAAACAGACGATCGTGTGACACACATTGAGAGTGGTCTGCTTCTATCGACAGCCGAGTGAATTTGTGTGGTTTACATGTATAACTTATCAAGTGACACAGATGCATCTTTTCAACTTTAGTTCCTGTGAAATTTCAATTATTATTAATTACAGTTCCTAGTCCTATCAGGCCTGTTTTAGAGAATGACCACCTTGGTGGGATTGGTTTGTTGTAGGCAAACGACTTAAGCGCCATCTATTTTAAGGGCTAATTGCTTCGGCAGGTGAGTTGTTACACACTCCTTAGCGCATGACGACTTCCATGTCCACCGTCCTGCTGTCTGTAGCAATCAACACCTTTCATGGTATCTATGATGCGTCGTTTATTTAGGTGCCATAACATTACGTTTGGTTCATTCCACAGCACCAGTTCTGCTTACCAAAACTTGGCCCACTAAGCACACAGATATCTTCTACGCCGTTTATGGAGGCACGACCGCCAAAATCAAACCGATTATCGGATTTGAAATTTTCAGGGAATGAAAAACTACTAATGATTAATGATTTACAAAATTTCGTCAATTTCGTCTCCCATCCTGAATGCCCGCACCTTCCTTTTCACTCCACCCATCAAATTTTGTAAAACCGATTTCCCAGTGTTTTTGTTGTTTTTACCCAAATTTTCTTCAACTCCAGCTCTATTTTAATAGTGTTGGGATTTTTGCGAAGTTCCATCTTCATAATTGCCCAGAATTTTTCAATTGGGTGAAGTTTCAGTGAATTTGGTGGGTTCATATCTTTTGGCACAAAATTGACTCCGTTGGATCTGTACCACTCCAACACGTTTCGAGCGGAGTGACAGGATGCTAGAACAGGCCAAAACAGAGTTGATCATTTGTGCTTCCTTATTAATGCACAGAAAAAAATTCTGAGTTTTAACTATCGCGTAAAATCTCCCTTCGTTTAATTTTGAGCTATACTTGGCATAAACAGCGAAATCGTTTACAAGCTTGCATACAATATTGCTAATTTATGCGATATTGCGCTTAAATTTACACGAAATATCGCGTAAATTTATGCCAAATTTAGCGTAAATTTTATGTGCGCTATATCTCGCAGAAATTTACATGAATTTTTCGAACGGTGTGGCAAGAGACGCTTCTTAAGGCACTCTTCCGTGTAAATCGCACCGTTGATTGTTCCGGAAGTGATGAAGAGAGCGCTTATTTCACCACATCCGTAAATTGCCTGTCAGATCAGGAACTTATTTGCAAATTTCCATAATTTCTTCTTTCGAACATCCTCCGGAACATCGAACTTAGACTTGGCAACGAAATATTCTTGCCGTGGGAGTTGACGTAAGTTTCGTCATCCATCACGA